GAAGAAGAAGAAGAAGAAGAAGGAGATGATGGAATTACATCATTAGCCAAGAAGCCACCAGTGAAGAGGAAGAGGAGAAGGTACAGAAAGCAATACCCAGGTGAGAAAAAGGGTATTACTGAAGAAATGAGGTTTGTTGCTATGAAACTTCGTAACTTCAAGGCCAAAGACAGTTCATCCGAGAGTGAGAATGGGTATGAATCAGCTTCCTCAGGAGAGGATAATAATAATATAGGTGGCGATGGGGGTAGTGAGGAGACTTGGAAGCCAAGTATAGAAGGGTTTCTCAAGTATCTTGTTGATAGCAAGCTTGTTTTTACTACTATTGAGCGCATTGTTGATGACTCCAGTGATGTTTCTTGTAAGTGCTATTATTTCTTTGTTCATTATGTTACATTCACCAAAAAGCCTTCAACTTTCAGCTCCAGTTATTTGGTCTAGTGGTAAGGGCGCGACACATTATGTGTGGGTTAGGCACATGTCACATGTTACAAAAGCCTAGTATTTAAGTGGAGAGGATAGAGGTGGGTCCATTATCCACCAAGTTTCAACCTGTGTGCTGATGAAAAAAGTCTTGAACTTTCAATTTATTCCCTCCCCTGCCCTAAAATAAGACCAAGAAAGATTAACTAAATGCTTAGTTTGTGTTGTACTGAAGGGGAGCCTTGGTGTAACTGGTAAATTTGCTGCCATGTGACCAGCCACCCCCTCCTGGCAAAGAAAGAAAGGCAGGTTCAGGCGATTGATCAAAAAAAAGATTTTCTTCCCTTTCTTTTTGACAGAGCAATTGAATGAAGCGGTGCGGGGCCTATAAGATTATGAATAAGCTATTTATTATCCATCCTTCTGAATAAAAAAACCTTCGGAATGATGGTAGTAGAGTAGGGGGTGTAACTGGTAAATTTGCTGGGGGTCACGGGTTCGAGCCGTGGAAACAGCCTCTTGCAGAAATGCAGGGTAAGACTGGGTACAATAGACCCTTATGGTCCGGCCCTTCCCCGAACCCCGCGCATAGCGGGAGCTTAGTGTACCGGGCTGCCTTTTTTTAGTTTGTGTTGTATTGTTTTTTTTAGGTTCTTTGCACTATGTACAAACTTGTTTAGAATTGTTGGTTCTCATTTTCATGATAGAAGAAAAAAGAAACAGTGTAATATGTTTGGGGGGCTGAATTTATTTGTGTAAAGGAAAAAAAAAAGATAACACTGTTGAAGCTATTAGAGGACATATTGCTTGTTGGATTTCAAATGATGCTATACTATTTTGCTGTTTAACCTAGATGCCTACTTCAGAAGGACTGGATTGGAGCGAGCAGAATGTATATCGAAAGACCTAGATTGGTTTAGCCAACATGGCTATGAGATTCCTGAACCGAGCAATCCTGGAGTCAGTTACGCCAGTTATCTGGAGGAACTGGCAGAAAAGACTCCTCCTTTATTTCTCAGCCACTTCTACAACATATATTTCTCGCACATAGCAGGAGGTCAAGTCATAGGCAAAAAGGTACAACTTCCTTGTGTTAGTCATTATCCCCTGAGTGTTTTTGTGGAGTTTTCATTTGTCTGGAAATGGCGAAACGAAGTAAATTAAGCTTGGTCTTCAAATGTCTTTCTTCATATATTCTCTTTGTGAAAAATCTCCAGTTAAGGGTTTAATTACATATTGAACTCATTTCTGAGCTGAAATTTTTTCCTCTGTCGTGAGCTTTATTTTATTGTCAAATCATGTTGCCTCGTGTTGAGATTCTTTAGATAACATATGTTCCCATTGTTTTTTTGATGAAGTAATGTATTGTATTAAAGGCATCAAGAGGATGCAAAAGATTACAATAGAGAGCTTGGTTAACTCGTTAGGACAAAAAAACTATTCTAGAGCCTTAAGTTAACCAAGGGCAAAATCAGTGGTTACTAAACCATTGAGAGAGAGCTAATGAAGTCTAAGAGGGGGATGATATCATTTATGGGGGAGAGATTACTCCAACTAAAAAGATTAATTAAACATTTAGACTTCAAGTGTTCGTTGGAAGTTGAAATGCCATCAAAACATCTACGATTCCTCTCTGTCCATAGACACAAAAAAATACAGAATGGGATCATTTGCCAGATCTTTTTGATGGATCTATCAACTTCCCATAGGCTCCAGCTAAGAACTGCGCCCCTCATGTTCTGTGGCACTGCCCAGTTGATGCCAAAAAGTGCTAAGAACATGTTCCAAAGGTCTGATGCCACAACACAGTGTAGAAACAAGTGATTAACCGACTCAGAGTTGAGCTTGCACATGTAGCACCTATTTGCCAACTGAAAATTCCTTCTGCTAAGGTTGTCCTGGGTCAAAATAGCTTCATAGAGGGCTGTCCAGGAGAAACACTTGACTTTTGTGGGCAGTCTTGTCTTCAAATCAGCTTCCATGGCCAAAGCTCAATCATGTCATTAGATGCACTTAGTTTGCTATAACCGGCCTTTACAGTGTAGTTACCTCTTACAGAGTTACCCCACCTTAAGTTGTCTGGGACTTGAGAGTCCCCTTTGGCTTCTTCAAGAGTTCTGTAAAGATCAAGTAGCTGGTTTAGTTCCCAATCCTGCATATTTTCTTCTGAAGTGAAGATCCCAGGTGTTCCCTGCTCTATTTTGGGCTATAGAAGAGTTGGTGTCTGAAGCAATCTGGTATAGGTCGGGATGAGAGTCTTTTAAAGCTTGGTTGTTGAGCCATCTATCCTTCCAGAATTTAATGTTGTTGCCATTCCCAGCCTTATAGGACACTTCTTGAAAGAATGCTTCTTGTAGGTTGTTGATATGCTTCCACGGGCCAACTCCATGTGGTGCTCTATTTTGCTTGGTGCACCACTTGTTTTGCACCCCATATTTTGCATTAACTACCTCTTTTCATATGCTTGTTGATTCTTGAGCATATCTCCACCACCACTTCATGAGCAGACTCTTGTTATGCTTGGCCAAATCTCTGATTCCCAGACCACCTTGATTTTTTGGCATGATCAATTTTGGCCACTTCACTAGATGGAATTTGTGGCCTTCACTATTTCCTTTCCATAGGAATGATCTCCTAATTTTGTCCAATTGCTTCTGCACCTTGTTTGGCATGGGGAAAAGGGACATAATGTAGGTGGGGATACTATCTATAACACTGCTGATTAGAGTCAGTCGACCACCCATAGAAAGATACTGCATT